GAAGAGGACATATGAATGAACGATGCATATGGATCCAATGCAACGAGAATCTTTTGGCAAAATTCATTTCTTCCTGCAAATCAAACGGCAGCTTAAGTATTTTTCTAAACCCCCATGTATGAAATAAAATATTGCTGATGGTACCGGGTAGCATATTCATAGGTGTGGTCCGCAAATAGACCCCCTACAAGAACCGAGCACTATGCTAATTTCTCTAAAATTCCACCAAATAAAACCCTGTCACCTCTTAGAAACCAGATATAGCATTTCTCGTGTTCCACGAGAAATGCTAGTAGAACCCGGTTTTTTAAGTTTTCGGGTTATATTTAGGGGATACAATTAGCCTTTTCGTAGTAGTGATGTATCTTGACAAAAGCCCTTTCGTAAAGATGTGTCACGTATTATTCTCACAAAAGTAAACAAACAATAAATATTGAATGGTTGAACTTGTGTTCCGCTGCCATGACTTGTTAATTGCAGCCTACGCATCTCAAACTTATATCCTATGGTTGCGTCAATCTTAAGGAGTTAGCTCAACTGACAATAAGGTTGGAGAGTTGCAGCTGCTCAAATACATCATCAGTTCAAGTTTTGCGACTATTCTCCAAGGCCCCATGGGATTCAGGGGCAGACTTATGAAAACGGTAGTGGGATCCCGTACACCCACTCAAACCAATTGAGGGGTATTTCGGGATATTAGAAAAATACAAAGAACCCAAAAACTTGAAAAGCCCTTGAAATCAATCAACAAACAGGAAAAAAAAATCCATCGAAACCAACCAAAAAGAGTCCATCGTGATCAACCAAAAAACATAAAAAAAATCCCTCGAAACGCTGGAAATTCGACTAAAACCTTAAAGATACACCCACTCAGCAAAAATCATAGACCTGCCATTGATGAATTAGTTGAGATACGTATAAACTGACTCGAACACCTACGATTAAAAATCAAAGGGTTTATACAACCAATTAATCTAAAGTAGAATTAGCATCAATAAATAAAATGCAATTATGGGCATAAGAAAAGTAGCCAAGAGTGGAACAAAGTGTGCATTATATGTATCCTCTTTTAGTAAAATTAGAAACCCACACCTGTAAATGGATGTATATAGCATTTAAAAAAAAAATTGATTATCAACAACCCTAATAAGTCATTATAACAAAATCGGGTTTATAGAACACTCTCAAATTCTAAATGTCATAATACACCTATTTATAGGACTTAGTTTATATGAACAAAAAAATAAAGTGTCATATCTAAAGGTGTTGTAATAAGTTTATATGACGTTTTTTAGCGTCGTAATAAGTTTTTTAGGACACTTTTAATATAAAGTGTTCCATTATCAACTTTATAAAACACTATTTGAAAAATTGTCCTATAAAAACAAGTGTCCTATAAATAAATGAGTTTATAGGACACTTTCTCAAAAGTGTCATATAAAGTTGTTAATGCGACATTTTGTATTAAAAATATCCTAAAAACTTGTTAAGACGCCCAAAAGCGTCATATAAACTTATTACAACACCTTTAGATATGACACTTTATATTTTGGTCCTATAAATTAAGTCTTATAAAGAGGTCTATTGGGACACTTTGAGATTGAGGGTGTCCTATAAACTCAATTTTGTTGTAGTGAGTTATCGCCCCTATATTAAACCGGTTTTTGAGGTCATCTTTAAGGACATTTTTTTGACTCACTCAACAACTGATACTAGCAACTCGAACCCTATGATCTATACAATATCAGTTACAAATATCAAAACCGAGTGTTACCAAAAACTAAAGAAATATATTAACCGATTTGATTCAAAACGAGTCTAAATCGGTATTATTCCGGTGACTTGCAATTCAATTGGGAACAAAACGATGTCAATTGTTTGTAATTGTACAACAGTCCGACCCAGATTCCAGCCGATCGATGTAGGAAAAGCCAAGGAGAAGAAAACAGGCGTAGACCACTTAGAAGCTGACACGTGGCCCTAAGTGAAGAAAAATTATAACCCTTTGCTGTAGATGGACAACCTGTAAACATAGTAAATGCAGTACCATTATATATATATATATTTATAGATTTGGAATCATGTGAGACCAATGATTTTTCGTGAGACCCGTAAGACCAATTCTCAACCCTTGGATTAGATTTACAATCGTCAGATCTGAACATTCATAAACGCCACGAGACTTCTCCATAATTACAAAATTGCCATCTTGCAACTTTTGACCATTTGATCATTAGTTTATAAATTTGATCAATGAACATAAATTGGTCTTACGGGTCTCACGAAAAWCTCTTGGTCTCACGTGAACCCAACCCTATATATATACATATATATGTATATATATATGTATATATATATATATATATGTATATATATATATATATATATTCTTTTGTCTTGCTAATTTTGTTGCAAGTAAGTGGAGATGCAATTTTTGTAAACCTTCCAATTTAATGAAACTTGATTCTCTAAATGGAATAAAGATTATATACCATTATTCATTTTTGTATTTTTTGAAATGATAAAACACGATAACATGTGGGCCCGGGAATACGAATTCTTGTATAGGTTCGGGAACTTTTTGACTGTTGTTTTATTTCGGCAAACATAACTTTTATTAGTTGTTAGACGTTACGAAAATTTAGTGTTCCATGACGTTCAACCGTCTATATTTGATCAGACGTTTTAGGTTTATAAGATCAATAATTGTGTATCGTGACAATGATGTTATAGTAATACTACAACAAAATCGGGTTTATAGGACACTCTCAAATTCTAAGTGTCCTAATAGACCTCTTTATAGGACTTAGTTTATAAGACCAAAAAATTAAAGTGTCTTATCTAAAGGCGTTGTAATAAATTTATATGACTTTTTTTTGACGTCGTAATAAGTTTTTTAGGACACTTTTAATATAAAGTGTCACATTATCAACTTTATAGGACACTATTTGAAAAATTGTCCTATAAAAAACAAGTGTCGTATAAAAAATGAGTTTATAGGACATTTTCTCAAAAGTGTCCTATAAAGTTGCTAATGCAACACTTTATATTAAAAATGACCTAAAAAATTTGTTGAGACACCCAAAAACGTCATATAAACTTATAACAAAACCTTTAGATATGACACTTTATTTTTTTAGTCCTATAAAGAGGTTTATTAGGACACTTAGAATTTGAGAGTGTTCTATAAACCCGATTTTGTTGTAGTGTAATTTGTTAAGACGAAGTTAAATTAAATGACGAAACAAAAATTTTATCTTGTTTTTCTTTTTATAAGACACTTTTTATAGATGCCCAAGAATCGGTTTTGAGGTTTATCTAAGCTAACCTTAAAAAGAAAATATTCTGAACGAAGGGATAATTGGACATTTTCATCAAAGAGGAATTTCTTTTATAGTGTGATATCTTAACCGTGTATGTTAGGTTGTTTCCGAACTAACTGAAAGAATATCCTCATGGAGATGGGAGTTTATATGCATGATCGTTCACATTGCAGGGATCCATGTTGTTCCTTTATGTTTTGAGTGATCACGATAGAATGACGAATACTGCTAAAGTTATTAAACTCTTGTTCTTTACTCCCGCCAGTCTATTTCATGTCCCAATTAAGCAACAATAAGTTCTTCGAGAAGTGTTTGGTGTCACAAGGTGATCAGACGTTCAACCAAGAGGGTACAACTTGATAAGAACTCAATTCCCCCTTGACTTATTACCCTTGTAAGCGAAGCTTCATTTCTAGCAACCAAGTCGGCTACTGCATCGATCCAAAGATAAAAACGTGTAGCTCAAGGAAGACGGTTTTCAGTGAGGTACTCACAAACCAAATCATCCTAAAACAAATTGTGCTACCTTACTGTACATGTTTTTTTCTAGTAAATATTTGCATAATTCACATCATATTATGTCAAGTATTCTGAGAGACTACTTAATAAGACCAAAGAATTATTTGATGTGTTACAATAAGTTGATAGGATGTTTTAGACTTCTTAACAAGTTTCTTATAACAATTTTGAAACAGAACGTATATTTATCTTCCAGATCGATCAAAACTCACGCTATCATGTGCTACATGGTCTATCTTTCCGAAGGCAAATTCCAAAACAATTTGCCTAAAGTTGATCATGGTTAAGGTTATTAATATTTTTAGACCAGACTCCCCAATTCTATCTATGTAATTGACTAATTGTATTTAAAAGCATTCTTGAAATCATTTTATAACACCGATATAAAAAGAAGTGGAATTGAAAAGAACTACTCCCATGTAAGCCCTAAAAGGGTCTTTGAAAATCTAAAGCTTTGTCGTCTAACTCCAATTGTTATGAACACGAGGGAGTAGATGCAAAAATCAACCTGTTTCTTATATCTAGCTCCAAATCCCGTTACTACCAACAATTTTCTACCAAAGTAATTCATGTAAAAGCAGTTGGCGTTCAGTTTATTGAAATGATAATCTTTTATGTAGAATCTTAGGGTAAAAATGCTAACACGAGCAACTAGAACAAATGTCATAACATCTAAAAGAATGTACGTATTGCATACGTATCAGTTGATTGTAGATATGGATGACTTGTTGCGATCAAAGTGTCGCACGCATCTTCATTTCTTTCGCACGGGTGAAAAAAACAATAATATAAAATAAAATGTACAAAAATAGAAGAAAAATCATCTTAATTTTATAAAAAATATGTAGTGCATAGAAATACAAAGATAATAAGAAAAAGTAGAGTATTCATTAATGAATAAAAATGGCAGTGATGTATAGAGAAGACCAATGGTAGATGGGGGTTACCCAAAGATAGATCACCCAGGGTTTCCATTTTCTTCTCACATTTCTCTTTTGAGAACACCCCCTCTCTCTCTCCTCCAATTTTATCTATATACAAAACACAAGTTTCATGAATTAAAGGCACTTCTAAAAGTGGGTCTTCTCTTAACCAAGAGTAGAATTGTTTGCAGAAAGGAAAAAAACACAAATATAAAGGAAATTTTTGCTAATAATCATGGGAAGAGGGAGAGTAGAACTGAAGAGAATAGAGAACAAAATCAACAGGCAAGTGACTTTTGCTAAGAGAAGAAATGGACTTCTCAAGAAAGCTTATGAACTCTCAGTTCTCTGTGATGCTGAGGTTGCTCTCATCATCTTCTCCAATCGGGGCAAGCTTTATGAATTCTGTAGCAGTTCTAGGTATATAACTTTCTTTTTGCTGTCTTTCTTCATCATGGATTATGTTATGTATGTATGTATGGTAGCACTTCTTGTGTATGTGTATGTGTGTGTGTGTGTGTGTTGTACATTTTCTACACTTTTTACACACACACAAAAAAACCCCATGAAATCCTTTGATTTGTGGTGGATTCACATACGATCTATCTCTTTCTTGCTTTGAAATCTTGAGAAAGCATGTTTTAAAGATTGTAAAACACATGGAGTTCAAACAGATTCATCGTGGTCAAGTGGAATATAAAGGGTTTCGTAAAGATCTGTTCTTTTCTTGTACTATATCTTCACAATGGATTGTCATCCAGGCTTTCACAAGCATATTTTGCAGTTTTTTTAGTTTTATAAAGGTTAGATTATATATTTATTTCTGGGTTTTTGAGGTCTTGATTGTATCTAGAACTAGATTCAGGTCATTGCTGTTCGGATTTTATTTGTTCTTCTCAGATAGATTTGATGTCTTATCAGAGAAGAGATCTGGAAAAAGCTGCAAAAGTGCAAATCTTTTGAAACCCTACTACGGTGTATATCAAATTCTAAAGTTAGAACCCTAGCTAGATAATAAAATGATATTATAAGTTCTAGTTTGTTTGTCTTTTGTTAGTATAAAACATAACATACCATCGTTTTCTTTGTTGCAATTTTCTTGATTAATTGCTAAGAAATTTAATGTATAAACTAGAAAAAGTTGTTCATTCTTTATCCCCCCCCACCCCCCCTCTTACTTTTCTCATCAAAATTGATGTAAATTTTCTGTATTTTTGATCTGTTGATCTTGACTGATCTTTTAAATATGATCTCGATCGATCCGAGTATTGATTTGCAAGCTTGTTACTTTAATCTTTTTGTTTAATTTCATGGGGATCGAACGAACAAAGGTCCAATACTCGAACCAATATCAATTGACAGGAACCCGTTAGGTTACCGATCACTTCAAAACTAGTTTATCAAGAAAACATAAATAATGAATCATGATATTAAGCTCATGAATTTCACGATAAACTGTTTGGAACCTCACAATTAAAATCGCCCGTTCGTAGATAATAATTTCATTAAAAATGTTTTCTTCTTACTTCTTTTACGATAATATCATTGATCCGAGAGCCTGAGTTCTACTAACGGCCTTCGAAGAACGCCATCTTTTAGAATGAAGGATCGAGAATAAAATATATAGCCTTAAGTTGTTCGTGTCATATATACGTTTGTTATCATCTCTTAACTTTTATGAAATTGATTGTGCATATGGATTGTTGTTATTAGCAAACATTTAGACGATATAGCATCTTGTTGGTGACATACTACTTCTTCCACAATCGATAACACCTGTTTGGGAATACGTAGCAATGAATTAGGTCGATTTAGAGCATGAACCTTAGGTTCATGTTCTTGCCTTCAATTTACTCGAGAAGATGATTGAAAACCATCTGGAGTATTTATATTCATTTTTCCCAGTTACTAAACTTTGTTCATGGACCTTCATTTTTCAGCATGGTGAAAACACTTGAAAAGTACCACAGCTGTAGTTATGGATCATTGAAAGCCAGCCAACCAGAAAACGAAAGCCAGGTTTGTTGCTAATCAACTAAAGATTCATCGCGTGTTAGAATGTGCAACCATTTTGAGTTTAATTATATGTTCACTTAGTACTTTTCCATACAATACATGGGGAGTTCTAGAAAAAAGAGATCTAGAAACCATTGAGGCAGGAGTATTTAAACGTACCGTGAAAATTAAGAATCCTTCGGACATCTATCTCAAAACAATTGATAAATGTATAGAGGAACTGAGCCTGGATCTTACATATGATGAATTGCATATTAGTACTTCCAATATTATCGGTATCGTACCCTTAATTACTTAACAATGACATCGCTAAATATTTGAGCAGTACAACTACCACGAATATCTGAGGCTAAAGGCAAGAGTGGAGGTTCTGCAACGGTCACAAAGGTATAACATCGATTCGAGACCATACAGGTGTAGAGTTCTTTGCTGTTTATTGGTCTAAAACATCTGGTTTCTTTAACCCCTAGCTAGAACACTATTGTTGTTTTTACTCAATACCCTAATTAAAACGATGATCATATATTTAATCCTGCAGAAACCTTCTTGGAGAAGATTTGGCCCCTTTAAACACCAAGGAGCTGGAGCATCTTGAGCACCAACTGGAGATGTCTTTGAGGAAAATCAGATCAACAAAGGTACAAACTTGAGTCCAATGCATGTTTGCTTAGATATAGAAAGCGAGATTTCACTAGTACGAGCGAAAGGTCATATAAATTCTATAAGTCATCAATGTTTTGTTCTTGAATTTTCAGACTCAATGCATGTTGGATCAGCTTGCTGATCTCCAAAGAAAGGTATGTATATATGTCGCCATACATATAAACTTATCAGACCATACAAGCTTGTAAGATTTCTGATATCTCATTCGTTTTGTTCTTGTTTTTACTCTTATTTTGGTCGATTATATACGCAGGAGCAAGTTCTTGCTGAAACAAACAAAGCCTTAAGGAAAAAGGTAGCACACTCAACATACACACCCTAAAAATAATATATACTCCATTCATCCCAAAATTTAAGTCTACGTTTACGGGTTCTTAATTGATTAAGCCCCCAACGTTTAAAAGATCTTATTGATTGGCAGTTGGAAGAAAGTGCTCAGGAGTTTCCAGTTAGGCAAATGTGGGAAGGGGCACAAACCATACCCTATAATCCCCTTCCTACACACTCAGAAGATTTCTTCCAGCCTCTAGGATTGAACTCCGCCATGCACAACAGGTGTGTTTCTTGATCTCAAGCTCAAAAACAGAAGTCTTCTCATTGAGTGTGATTTTATCCAGACTAGTTTTCACTAAGCTTTTCTAATGGTTTCTTGATCCAGTTTCAATGGATTTAGATACAACCCTATTGGGTCTGACGAGATGAATGTTGCGGGTGTCAACGCGAACCATCCTAACGGATTGTTCCCTGGTTGGATGCTGTAGTTGAAGAAATGCATAAACCCTAAGTTTCTCAAGGGTGAAAATAAGGTAATCTCTTGTTTTAGAATGAAACTTGTAACATTTTTTTTGGTGTTTGTATTATGTGTGTTGTTTATGCAATTTGTAATTATTATTTTCCGAAGAGATTCAAGGCTTCATAAGTCGTTGAGAGGACGACGATGACTGTGATTTGAAGAGCCCATGAATTAATCTTGGCATGTATGTACTAAATTTGTATAAGATTTTAAGCATTCTGGATTTGTACTAATTATATTTTGTTTAACAACTTAACCTTGAATTCGGTTACCTGCTTTTAACCGAATGTTTGATGACACTAAAATCACCAACAACTTGATAATCATATATATAAGAGAGAGTGTATATATGTAACTTTCTTATCCTTTTTTTCATTTATGTCGACAAAGTTATAAGCATTGATATATGAAAATACATGCATTTAGGGGTTGTTTAGCAGTTGCTGAATGGTTTTATGCAGAATAATTAAGCGGTCAGAATGATTAAGAGGCTCTCATGATATAGTGCAAAACGAAATATAATTATTTGTTAATTGTTTATAATGAAATTAGGGCTCTTAATGGTTAAGGGAGGCCCAAGATACAATATCATTCAAAGAGTTTTAGAACAATTATGAGGCAGACTTTTTTTTTTGCTAAACAAGATTCACCTCTTAACGATTCAGAGATTGTCTCTTAATGGAACTATTAAGAGGTAAACAGACAACCCTTACACACATATACATACATACTTATACACATATACATACATATACCAAATTGTTGTAATTTTCATTAATTTTTTTTATATATTTTCATCTCCTACCTCGTATTTTCAATGTACATTTAGCATTTTTGCGACATAAGAATCCATAATAGTGCAAAAAACAAATGAACAAATGAAAACATACTATTGATGCATAAACAACTTGTAATAGAACAAATTGTGTAAAGTGAAAAAAATAGTACACTACAAAACAAAAGGGCTTTACCGACTAAAAATCTGTTTATGATCCGCTGAAAAAAGCCGGTGGATTACCGACACAATAACGCGTAAGCTACTTGTCATATTTACAATATGATAAGTAAAGACCACTAAGAGGTTGTTCGATTGTGTTTTTTCTATTAAAAGATGTATGAATAATTAGGCTGTGTATGGATAATCTTGCTTTTACCGACGATACAAGCTCTCTAAATAGAGTGAGCTTTAAATAAGGTTGGCAGTGAGTATGGTCGATGCTTATGTTTTGATTTGTTAGATAAACGAATGAGTAAAGAAATTTTTATCCATTCACTCCACTTCGTTCTTCCCATTTCTAAACAAATAAGCAAAAATGAAAGAATTAGAGAGAATTAGAGAGCGAGTTAGGGGCGGTCATGAGTTGGGTTGAAGGTATTTGAACAACCAATTCAATCCAATGTTTGGGGTTTGCAAAAACTTAACCCAACCCAAACCAAAGTGCAGCCGAACCCAACTCAAATTGTATAAGTTGGTTAGGTTAGTCAGGTTGGTCGGATTGATACTTTAGTACATCAAAATATTCTCCTAACCTTGATCAATATATTGTTTTTTCTACTCATAATTCCTTTTTCACTATCATCATTTGGTACAACTTATCAATACTCCTTAAATGTTAAGTATATCATATTTCAGCTACTTTTCTCAATATGTATATACATGAAGGAGTTATATAGAGATGAAGAAGAAAATGAAAATATATGTATTTGAAGAGGTACGTGATGATGTAGATTGTCTAATGTACATATTAGTAAGTATTTAACAATCATATTAAATTTAAGATATAAAAAGATATCAGGTTCATCGGGTTCGGTTCAAATGATCGTAACTCAATTCTAACCCAATATTTACAGTTTGAAAATTCTACAACTTGATTCTACAATATTTCGTGTTGGGTTGGGTTGGATTGGTCGGGTTTTTGAGCATTTTTAGAGTGAGTAGAGAGGTGTTCTTCTAAGTTGAGGAACAAAAGCAAGACAACAAAGTAAGATTTCTCATATGCTTTAGACGATTATGAAAACGAGATATAGAACACTTGAAAGTTAGTACATTTATGGGTGTAGAAACACAAAGCTATATATGTATGTAGGGTTTTCTATGACGCCAAGCTGATTAGGCCTTTTCGCGACTAAGAAGCTTGCCGATGTGAGTTGCAGGAGCAGGTTTGCCTCAAAAGACGGAAATCAAAGGGTATCAACATTATGAACATAAGGACAGAGCCAAAGGCGTTGCAAGGCAAGACTAGGGAATCCGACCAAGCCAAGCAACAACTAGAAACAGATTCTAGGGCTTGTGTTTATTATTCTTTGTAACCTTTTTGTTTCAAATTTGGATTTAATTAAAAGATTCAACTTTGTATTCATTTCAGTTCAGTTAAACATATGGTGAATACAAACACGTTAAAAAACAAGTACAAAAAGATTGTGACACTCTTGACATGTGATTTGCAGTTGTTCAACACTTGTCAAAATCCAAAAATTAAATGAAGCAATTTCTAATTAAAACACAAAATTTAAAAATTTTGTTGCAATACAATATAAATTAGCAACAGATTATCGTTTGTCGATAATCCGTCATTAATCTCTTGCTAAACTGACAATATTTTTTGGTTTACGAATTTGTCATTGGTCCCTCAATGTTTCATCAGTAGTTTTTGACGGATTTATTCTGTTGGTAATATCTATTAGAAATGATCCAAGTTTTAGTAGTGAGTGTTTGACCGATCACTATAGTTGAATGTCTGATGTATTTATAAATGAATAATGTGATGTTATTTATAAAGTTGTAAAAGTGATTAAATTGTGAAAGATATGAGTTACGGAATAATATTTGTAATTGATATAAATGTATTTGTAAATTTTGGTTCTTGCTGTAATTATATTAATGTATATGAAAATGTTGCTTTCTAGCTTCTTGTAATTATATGACTGTTTTTTTTGTTAATATTTGAATCCGGAAAAACAAATAACGTGTCGTTCAGAAGAAATCTCTTGTCAGGGTTCAATCTTTTGTGGGAAAGTTAAAAGAGTCTATTTGGGGAATTGGGAAATTCTGACGAGGTGATGTGTTTGATTGTTGGTGTTGCACTCGATTTCGAGATGAAATCTTCTTTAAGGTAACACTCCGAATTTTATGAATTTGAACTATATGTGGGTTGGTAGAACCGTACGCTTTACCAAGTATTTGGTTGTTGGTGTTGAATACCCGGGCGGCTTTACACATGAGTTATATACTCTGGTGGATTTACGGGCAAATATAGCACCCAAAAGTCGCATAAGTTCCTGTTTGGACGTAGGCAACTTACCGTGCGAGCCAAAAGTTGCCGGAAGCCAGCTGGTCGACTTTTAAGCCAATTTTCAAGGGTTTTTACCTCATTCTCTAGTTCCTTCACCCTTTTCTTCATTTGGGCAATTTTTGGAGCTCAATATTGATTTTTGGTGCTCTCTAAATGTGTATTGAGGATTGGAAAACTCTATTTGAGGAAGCAAGCTTGGATTTTGCAAGATTTTGAAGAGGTAAGCTGTTGGGTATTTCGAGATTTAGTTCGGGTTTTGTCGTAGATCTCATCTTATTGGCTTTAGATGGTTGGCCATGAGAAGTTTCTTGAAGGTTTTCTACTTAATGGATTTTAGGTCTTCACCTTTTGGAAGCTAGAAATGGGTTTGGAAACTAGGTTTAACCTAACTTAGCAATGCGAGTTTCAAGTTACTTTATAAAAATGTTTTACATGTCAAAAACGTAATTCTTTTGGTGTCTATTTGCTTTTGTGGAGTTTTACATGTCTAATGGGTTGTTTGACTGACCTTTTAAACATTGGGTTTGAGTTGGGTAACTTTTTGAAAAACGCTTATTATTTGATTTATTTAACTCCCTTAAGTTATAAGTCATGAAAAAAAATTAAAACCCATAGATTTGGGACTTTTGTCGATTTAAAACCATTTAAAATGTTGCGATTAAGAATTTTCTAACTTTTGAGTCAGTCATTGTTTACGGGGGACAATTAATGCTTATAATTGAGTTCTATGCTATATTTTGATATCTTAATCATGTGAGTATGATTTTGTGGAGTTCTATAAATAATGGTGATTGTTTGAAACTGTCACTCTTTTAGGTGCATTTAACTTCGTAAGTTTTAGAAAAGGCATAAAATCTGGTTGTTTGAATATTTTAGGAACCCAAATCATGTTATGTTTATCTTGGGATAATTTATCCAATCGTAACATGAATTTTGGTACACGGGAATGCGTAAACGTTAAGGTAACGGAACTATAGTTGATTGATATTGACCTTTCTTGGAGTGGTCTTATTAGTTGTTGATATTGGTTCGCTAAGCCTCGATTAATTGAGTTTGGGAATTTGGCCAACTTTGATTGTTCAACGATTATGGTTGAATATTAAAGTGCATATGTTGCATAATTGTCGGGGGTTTTGCCCAATTTTCAATTGTTCACTGTTACTTAGATATTTTATGCATATATTTGCATAATTACTTGGAAATACATGTCATTTGGGCTTATTTATTCTTCCAAGTTTAAATCATGAAATAGTGATTTTATTGCTTTGAATCCATGTGTATGAGGATTGATGGTTTTCATCGAGAGAGAAGTTTTGATGTTCTCTTCTTGAAATCACTAGTTTGAATCAAGTGACGAGTTTTGATAATCTGTTCTTGAAACCTTTGATTATGTTAAGTAAGGAGTTTTGATGTTCCCATGTCTTACAGACATTGGGTCTAGTAAAGTGAACAGCTTTGATGTTCTCAACTTAGGCCATTTAGTTTTGGCAAGTGAGGAGTTTTGATGTTCTCACTTGGACCCTTAGTTTGAATACAAGTGAGAAGTAGTTTTGATGTTCTCATCTTGAAACCTTGGAGAGTAGGCACTAAGGTCATTTGATGACCTTAAGGTAAAACTCGACAAGGTTGATAAATGGCTTACATTGTTTTCCACCATATCCGACGAAAATGGGTC